CGCTGAAGGTGGCTCAGCGCCTCCCGCACCTCTGACCTCTCCGCGTCCGCCGGCTGCTGGCCCCCGGGCTGCCCCTCCACGGCCGCCCGCGGCGGCTCCTGCCCGGCCCGCAGCTCCTCCAGCTGCTCGCTCAGCCGCCGCACCTGCTCCTCCAGCCGCCGCACCTTCTCGGTGTCGCCGCCGCCTGCCGTGCACCGCCCGGGTCAGGGGCAGGGACAGGGGCAGGCCACACGCGTGTCCCCGCATCCCCCGCATGCCCCAGCTCTACCTTCACCCCCCAGGCCGCTGAGGGGGTTGCCGAAGCCGGAGAGCGTGGGGCGGCCGGGCCGGGGCGGGGGGCGGCCGGTGGGCTGTGGGGACGCTGGAGCGGGGCCCTCGCTGCAGTCCGGCCCCGAGTAGCCCTGGCAGCAGCGCCAGGCCAGCTCCGACACCGTGCGCTGGGACACTTTGTAGCGGGGCCGGAGGAAGCTGCGGTACCTGCAGGGGGACGGGACGGGGCTGGGGGACGCCAGGAGGGGCGCGGGGCTGCCCCAGAGAGCCAGAGCCAGCACAGGCCGTGGCCTGACCCAGCAGAGCTGGCCTTTTGCTCAGCGGCCGGGGGGCTGGCCCTGCCCAGCCCTGTCACCGGCCCCACCACCCCAGTGCCACCCCAGCGCTGGCCCCGAGAGCCGCGGGGTGCCCCAGGGCTCTGCCGCACGTCACAGGGGGACAGTGGCCGGTCACCCTCCGGTCCAGAGAGCCGCGGGGTGCCCCAGGGCTCTGCCGCACGTCACAGGGGGACAGTGGCCGGTCACAGCTTGAGGTCGCTGACTCTTGCGCAAAAGTAAACATGACCCCAGGGTGGGTAAACACCAGCGGCGGCGGCGCGGCCGCGGCCCGCCCTGGTTCTGTGCTGACCCCCCAGAACGCCCCGAGCCCCTCCAGAGCCCTCCCGGCCCCACTCACGCCAGGACTCGGGGGCACTGGAGCTGCCCCCAGGGGCAGGGCTGATAGTCCGGCTTGATGAAGCTCTCGACGCCATCCTCCACCACGCAGCTCACGCTGCGTGTCACCACGTAGGCACACCAGTTCCTGCCGGAGGGAGCGGGTCAGGGCACACAGCCGGGGGGCGCTGGCACACGGTGTCACCCCGGCACACACCGGGCATCGTCCTGGTACGGACCGAGCACGGCAGGCGCCGGGCATCATCTGGGCACACACCACACGCTGTCCTGGCATCCCAGCACCGAGCAGCCACTGGAGCTGCCCTGCCATGGACCCAGCATCATCCCAGCACACAGCGGGCATCGTTCCAGCACACACCGTGCACAGCATCCTGGTGCACACCAGGCATCGCAGGCATCACCCGGCAGAGACAGCAACGCGCCCTGCCCCAGGCCTTCCCTGGCACACTGCAGCTCCCCAGGCACAGCCCGCATCCCCCAGCACACCGCGGCCCCTCTGGCCACACCCCGGATCCCCCGGCGCGCTCCTGTGCTTGCCCAACCAGCCCCACCGGTAGCACCGTCACGGCCCGATGCAGGTTAATGGGCCGGATCTTACCCCAGCACAGCCTCTGAGCCGTGCCTGGCGACCCCTGCAGACCCGGCTGCAGCCCCCAGCCCCGGCTGCCCTCGGGAGCCCCGCAGGGATGGGCTCTGCCGGGAGCAGGGTGCCCACACCCCATCGCACCGTGCCGTGCATCCTGCCCGGCCCAGGGAGGGCACCCTGCGTGCTGCCCCGTGTGTGCCCCCGTGTCCCTGCCCCTCCGTGCTGCCCCGTGTGTGCCCCCGTGTCCCTGCCCCTCCGTGCCCTGCAGCAGCCACGCAGCGGTGCCAGCGCAGCGCCCCAGGCTGCGGGACCCGAGCCCCCCCGCGTGGGACTACAGCCTGGCCCCGCTGCCGGGACCCCGTCCTTGCAGCCTTATATGGTCGGGACCCGAAGCCCGGGCCCCGCTCGGGCCCCCCAGCCCCACCGGGCAGCCCCCCGGGGAGCGGCCCCCGGCCCTGGGTCCCCGCCGCGGGGCCCCGGTGCGGCGGCCGGTTCCCGTCAGCGCGGCTGGTTCCCCTCAGGCCCCGGCTGGATTCCAGCTCCTCCCCGGGGGCCGCCGGGAATTCCTGCGCCGACCGACGGCCCCCCTCTTCTCCCCCGCCATCCCAGCCCCGCACCCGCGAGGCCCCGGGACCCCCGGGCTGCCCTGGGGTCCCACCGCCCCGCACCGGGGCTGTGCCCATCCCAGGCGAGGGACGGGACCGGAGCTCCCCTAAAAGGGCAGGATCTGGGGGCACCCCCCGCGCTCCCCGAGCCGCGGGGACGGAGCGCTGCTCACCCCGACCCCTGCAGAGCCCCCCTGAGCCCCCAAAGCCGCACGAAAAGGCTCCACCGTGCCCGTGCCCCACGGCCGGACCGGAGGCGCCCCTCCCCGGGGACCCCGCGCTGGGGCCAGGTCCCGCCATCCCCCCCCCGGGGCCACCGCGGGGCCAGGGCAGTCCCAGCCCTGCGGCCACGCCGCTGCGGCGCTGATGTGTCCCCGGTGAATACGCTGTGACCCCAACCCAGCGTGGGGCCGCCCCCAGCCCCGCGCCCCCGCAACGCCCGGACCCCCGGCCCCACGCTGCCCGCGGTCCGAGACGGGACGGGGATGCCAGAGGGTCCCGGTGCCCCTCTCCGGCAGCGCTGACCCACGCGTGATGCCGAGCAAGGACCGGCCCGCGATCCCGACCCTCCACGTGCGCCCACTGCCCGCCCGTGCCGGGCCCGGGGTGACGCCCCCGCTTCGGGGACCCCCGCCCGCCCCGCCGCCCCCCGGGCTGGACGTGGCACGTGCCGGTGCCTGCCCGGCGCCGGGGCTCCCGTGGCAGCGGGGTGGGGGCCGCGTTCCGCGTCCCCGCCGCCGCCCGGTGCGTCCCGGTGCGTCCCGGTGCGTCCCGGTGCTCGTGGCTCCTACCTGTGCCGGCTGGCGGCCCGGGCACCGCTGTGGGCCGCGGCCGGGCCGGGGGCGAGCGGGGCGGCCCCGCCGGTGTAGAGGCTGTACCGGGAGGGGAAGTTGGCGGCCAGGGCCTGCGCGGCCAGAAGGCACGGCCAGAGCCAGGGTGCCATGCTGGGCTGGGGCGGCTCCGCTCGGCTCGGTCAGCCCGGTCCGGCGCGCCTCAGGACCGCATGTGGCGTCCCGTCGCGGCTCCGCGGCTCTGGGCGGCTCGGCACGGCTCGGCTCGGCTCTGCCCTCCCCCCGGCCGCCCCTCGGCCAGCCCCTCGCCACCAGAGCCGCCCCGCCGCCGCTGCCCGCCGCCGGGGTCCCCGGGGCCCCCCGCTTCCTGCCCGCCACGGCCCCCGCCCCAGCCGCGCCGGGCACCGCGGCCCCCGCCGGCCCCGCCGCCGCCACATCTGCTCCTCGTTAGGCCGGGCCGAGGCCGGGGCAGCCAGGGAGGCCGGGCGGGGGGCCAGGGCGCGGGCGGCCAGCGAGGCGGCCGCGGCTACCGCTGCGGCACCGGCCCGCCGCGGCCATCGGTGCCCCACGGCCGCCGCTGGCACCGGCTCCGGCACCGGCTTCGCACCGTGCCCCGCGTCTCGGTGACCGCCGGTGGCCTCGGTGCTCAGCCCGCGCTGGGCACAGCGGCCACAGGTCTCTGCACCGGCACCGCATCCTGCAGTGCCACGTCCCCGCGTGCCCGTGAGCCCGTGCCGGGTGACACGTCCGGGTGCCAGCACCGAGCCCGGTGCTGCCCCGCGCCCCCGGCCCCACCCCGACACCGTGCTGGGGACACTGGGGACACCGGGGACACCGCGGACACTGGGAACATTGGGAACATTGGGACGGCAGCGGTCACACCGCGGCCACCCCGGGCCGCCGTGGCCCCGAGCCCACGGTGATGCCATGGCTTCCCCGGCCCTCGCGGTGACGTCACGGCCGCACGGTGACATCACGCCTTGGCCGCGGCCCCGCGGTGACGTCAGGCGCGGGAACCCCCCGCCCGCGGGGAGCGAGGGTTAAGCACAAACAGCTGGCGGCAGCTGGAGGGGGAGGGACCGCGGGAAGGGATGCGGGGGAGGGACACACCGGGAGGGGACGCGGGGCTGAGGGGGCCGGGCTGGGCCTGGCCGGGGGCCAGCCGTGCCTGTGCCCGAGGGGGATGGTGGCATCGCCTCCGTGCTCCCGGGGCCGTGGGGGGCTGTGGGGGGCCATGGGGGGTTATGGGGATCTGTGGGGGGCTGCGGGGGCCGTCTCTTGGCCGTGTCCCAGGGGACTCCAGCCCGCGCTGGGGCTCCGCGGCCGAGCGTGGGGGGCACAGGGATGGGCCCGGGGTGCGGGCAGGACCCCGGGGGGACTCGGTGCTGGGGCCCCTCGAGTAGGGACCATCAACACGTGCCAGACCCTGCAGGCCACCGCAGTGTGACCCACACATCGCAGCACACCCCAGCTCCGTGTGGCCCGGTGCGCCTCCAGTACGGCCCAGCATAGCCCAGTACAGCCTGGTACAGCCTGGTACAGCCTGGTACGGCCCAGTACAGCCCGGTACAGCCTAGTACGGCCCAGTACGGCCCAGCAGCTCCCAGTACTGCCCAGTACAGCCCAGTACGGCCCAGTACAGTCCAGCGGCTCCCAGTACGGCCCAGCACAGCCCAGTAGCTCCCAGTACAGCCCAGCACAGCCCAGTACGGCCCAGTACAGTACAGCCCAGTAGCTCCCAGTATAGCCCGGAACAGCTCGGCACAGCCCGGCAGCTCCCAGTACAGCCCAGCACAGCTCAGTACAGCCCAGTACGCCCCAGTACGTCTGTGCAAAGCCCAGTGCAGCCCATCCCCGCGAGGCCCCGCGGGCCCGCCCGCTGTCAGCAGCCGCAGCGAGCTGTCATTAGGCTCATTAGTGCTAATTAGCCGCGGCCGCCCCGGGGCCGCCCGGCCCCGCCCCGCCCTCGCGCCGCGCCTTGTATGGAGACGGAGCCGCCGGCGGCCGCCAGGGGGCGGGGCGCGGCAGTGACGTCACCACGGCGGGGAGGGGCTAGGCGCCGTGACGTCACCGCAGCCGCGAGCCCGCCGCTTAGCCGGGGCCCGGTTGCCGTGACGTCACCGCCGGGGCCGGGCGTCTCCCGCCGTGCCCCGCGGCCGGAAGTGGCGCGCGCAGGGAGACGTGTCCGAGCGGCGGGGCCGGAGCGTGAGCGCGGGACACCGGGGGGACCGGGCAGGGGAGGGAACCGGGGGGAGAGCGGGAACGGGACAGAGAGCGGGGCACCGTTGGGCCCGGGCTGGAACGGGAACCGGGGGGAGAGCGGATGCACCGGGCAAGAACGGGAACCGGGGGACCGGGAAGGAGCGGGAGTCGGGACACCGGGGAGAAAGCGGGAACGGTGGGACCGGGCAGGGGAGGGAACCGAAGGGAGAGCGGGGCACCGGGGGGCCCTGGGAGGAACGGGAACCGGGGGGAGAGCAGGGCACCGGGGGGACCGGGTAGGAGCGGGAGCCGGGGCACCGGGAGGTCTGGGCAGGGGCTGGAGCCGGTGCGTGCCGCTTCAGCGGGTGCCGCCGGTGGCGGGTCCCCTCGCGGGATGCCAGCGTGTCCGTTCCCCCGGCCCGCAGGATGATCACGGACGTGCAGCTCGCCATCTTCGCCAACATGCTGGGCGTCTCGCTCTTCCTGCTGGTCGTGCTGTACCACTACGTGGCCGTCAACAACCCCAAGAAGCAGGAGTGAGGAGAGCCCGCCCGCCATGGCCCCGCGGCGCCGCCGCTCCCGCCCGTCCCGCCCGGCCCTCCCTGCCTCCCTCCCGCGGGGCCGCCCCGAGAGGCGCGAGCCCGAGCTTCTTCCAAACCGGCTTTAACGGAAACACGATGATACACGACAAAACCGTGTGACGTTATAACCAACACCCCGCGGGAGGAGCGGGGCCGGGCGGGGCTCAGCGCAGCAGCAGCGGTGCCGTGGGCAGCAGCCGGGCCAGCGGGGATCGGTGCTGCGGGGCCCCGGGGGGGGACAGCCCCGGCGCGGGCAGCGACAGAGGCGCCGCCGCGGCCTTGCCCAGGCGCTGCAGGCACGGGGCGGAGCAGGGCCGGAGCAGCTCTGCCGGCGCCGCCGCTGCCCGGGACGGCGGGGCCGGGGCTCGGGGCGCGGGCGTCTGCCCCAGCACGGGAAGGGTCCCTCGGTGCTCAGCACCCTCGCGGGGGGTGCGGGGGCCTCCGGGCAGAGCCCTGTGGGACAGAGAGCGGTGTCAGTGGGACACGGTGCCCCCGGCAGCCGGGGCTGTCTGCTCACCCAGCTCTCCCTGCCTCCGGGGGCTCCACGATGAGCCCGCAACTGGCAGAGCACCTACCCAGGCCTTCCTGGGGCTCTCCGGGCATTCAGCTTCATTGGCAGCACCTGTGGAGAGCGGGGGAAGAGGATCAGTGCCAGGTGTTTGTCCCCCTTTGTCTTGGGGAAAGTGTGTGGGACAGAAATATCTGGCGGAGCCCCGCGGCTGGGGAGGCTCCAGCCCCTGAGGGGCTCCCAGTCTGTGCAGCAGCCCCCCAAGGGGCCCACCCAGCAGAGCCATGGGGCAGCCCCTTCCCTGGGCCCTGCTGCACGCCAGGTCCCTGTCCCTCCCTGCTGGTGCCCCTGGTACCTGCAGAAGTGCCATGTCCTGGAGCTCCTGCCCGCCTCGCTGGGCCTCCCGTGGTTCGTGGCTGGTGCTCAGCGCTGCCCGGGTGCCCTTGGGCACGGTCCCTGTGTGACAGAGGAGACAGAGCTCAGCCCTGCTGGCCAGGGCTCGGGGCCACGCTGGAGTCACCAGCTGGGCTGGGCCATCGTGGGGCACAGTGGCACAGCCTGGTGGCACGGTGCCCTGCAGTGTCCCTGCCTGCCAGCTTTGCCAGGGCCGCGTCCCAGCACCGAGGGGTGGCCCTGGCAGTGGCCGGTGCCAGCGGAGGATGGGATGGGCACAGAGCTCAGTCCCAGCCTGTGCAGAGGGCTCTGCCCCAGCTCCTGCCTTGGTGTCCCACAGCACTGGTGTGACCATGCTGGCCAGGCTTAGCCAGGAGAGAGGAGCTGGGGGCACAGCTGTGCCCTCTGAACCGGGCTATGTCCTGGGCCATGGCACATCTGCTCAGCCAGGGGAGCTGAGGGGAAAAAGGAAAAAGGAAGGTGTTTGGGGGCCTGGCTGCAGTGGGCAGCACTGAAGGAACACACCTGAGTTGCCTCAGTTTCTGCTCACCTGGTTAAAGTCTTTATCCCAACCCAGTTTTCTCCCCATCCCACTGAAGACATGAGGTGGGGGGCACACTGCCCACTGGGGGGAAGCCAGGGCCAGACCCCGTGGGAAATAGGAGCAGGAGCCTCTGCTGGGCAAGATGGGCCACAGCCCCTGCTGGCTTCACCTGACTAAAACAGCACAACTGGTGCCAGCCTCGGCCAGCAAGGCCAGCAGCAGCTGAGGGTGTCACTGGGGGTCTGGCAAACCCCCTCACCCCAGCAGGAACACAGGTCTGGGCTCCCAGGGTGTGGCCAGGCTGCAGTGGGACACGGGGAAGAAGGGGGAGGGTGGGACAAGACCGGGGCAGCAGGGTCTCCACCCTACCCCAGCTCCAAGCACGCTCAGCTCCTTCCCTGCTGCCTGGGAGGGCAGAGGCTGGGGTGGCACAGCCAGCCTGAGGGCACCAGCACGGCCCTTGGAAGGCAAAGCCAGGGCTCAGAGCACCCCTGGGCCCTGATCCCTGTGCAGACACAGCGGTGCTGACAGTGCTGGGCCCCTTGTAGGTGGGGAGAAGGTGGTGGGAGAGCTGGGGGAGGCAGCCAAGCTGATGCCAGGGCAGGGGGAGCTCTGGAGTGGCCAGGCTGGAAGCAGGATGAGCTGTGCCAGGGCAGGGGAGGAAGAGCCGGGTCCTGGTGCCAGTGCCAGGCAGCATGAGGGTGCAGTGTCCCTGGGGCACTCACTCTGCTGGAGGAGGCCGTGCCAATGGGGAGCACAGGAGGCAGCAGACCCCAGCCAGTCGGTCCTGGGGACACCAGGGACCGGGCTCTGCCCCTCAGCTCACACAGTCTATTGCTGCTCATGCCCCCAACTGTCCCCAGTCCCTTCAGGCAGGGATGGGGCCAGGGCTCACTCCAGGCAGGCCTGGCCAAAGGAACAGACGGAACAACGTGCCCATGAGAACATCAGCCTTTTATTTCCTCCCCACCATGTTCTCATGGCAGACAAGACACAGTCATGACAGAGGGCTGGGCAGCAAACCCCAAGCACAACACGACCGACGGACACCAGAGTAACACAGCTCAACACAAGCACAGCTTCAGGCACACAGGGAGGCACCTGCCCCAGCTCACAGCCCCAGCCCTTGGAGCATGGTGCCCCAGGGCTGAGCCCCACAGTGGATGTGGGCACAGGGCTGCAGGGCTGCCACTGCCTGCCCCCCACGGCGGCCATGCAAGCACAGGGGGCACAGCCAGTGTCCTGCCTGACTCTGGCACCCCACTGCAGCACATCAGCCCCCAGCAGAGGGGACTCTGCATGTTGGGAACCCCCTGGTGCCCCCTGCCCGCTCACAAGTCACAACCTACTGTTGCCCAGCCAGTGCCTAAAGAGGAGAAAGGCACTTTGGTGTGTCCTTGCTGGCCTCAGGAATGCTTAGGAGCAGTGGGAAGTTGAGCAGAGGTTTTCTGTGCTGGCTTCTCCAGAAGCCCTTTGGTCCCGGCCCGGGAGGGGGGTTAGGGTTAGGCTGCTCCCTGCAGCCCCAGTGCCCGGGGATCCCCACATGCCAGTGGCGCAGGAGCTCAGCTGGGCTGTGCCGTGCCAGCCCTGACCCCTCCTGTGGGCCAGGCCCCTCACACTCACAGCTGCACACAAAGCCACTGTCACTGTGTCAGGTGCTGAGCTCCCTCACGGCCGTGCTCCTGCCCAGCAGCTGGACAGGCGCCGCAGCAGGCGCACGAGGGCTCCCCAGCCTGGCTTACCTCTGCCCAGGGCCGGGCTGCCGCCGCCAGCCCCGGGGCTCTGCGAGGCCACGGGCACAGCCGGGGGCCTGGGGCTGCCCAGGGTGAAGCTGGGGGAGGCTCGGATCCGGGGGGAGTCCTGCTGGCTGCCCCCGCTCCCGGCGGCGCCGCTGCTGAAGCTCCTGGCGCGGGGCAGCGCGTTGTCAGAGGCCGAGGTGGGCAGCCCCCTGCGGGCGCGAGAGAGGGGGGTCAGCCCAGCACGGCGAGGGGGCTCCCCTCTGCACCTCCACCCACCAGCACAGCCCAGCACCGAGTGCAGAGCCCTGGACTCCTCCTCAGGAGCCGGTGAACAGCTGGGGACAGACAAGGATGTCACCAGGACTGTCCCCGAGAGCCCCAGGGCCCTGCACTGTACTCACCCTGTGAGTCTCAGAGTCCCCATCCCCAGTCCCAAACCAAGGAATTGCTGAGTTTGGAAAAGGCCTTAGACACCATGGTGTCCAACCCTTCCCCAGCACAGCCCAGGCCACCACTGACCCCATACCCCAAGGGCCACATCCACAGGGCTTTAAATCCCTCTGGAAATGTTGATTCCTGAGCAGCCCTGAGCAGCCTGTGCTGGACAGCCCTTTCCATGGGGGAATTGTTCCCAATACCCAGCCTGAACTTCCCCTGGCCCAGCCTGAGGCCACTTCCCCTTGTCCTGTCCCTGTTCCCTGGGAGCAGAGCCCGACCCCCACCTGGCTCCTCCCTGTTGTCAGGGAGCTGTGGAGAGGAGGAAGATCCCCCTGAGCTTCCTCTTCTTCAGGCTGAGCCCCTTTCCATCTCCCTCAGCCTGTCCCATCCCAGCCCAGTGCTGGATGTGAGGCAGGAGACACCTCCCAGATTACTGGGGCAGGCAAATCCCAACCAGTTCACTTGGTGCCCATCTCTGCTGTCCCTGGGAGCAGAGGGACTGACAACCGCCATTCCCAGGGCTGGGAGGAGCTAGGGCCAGGGCAGGTGACCCTGGCAGGTGACTCACTTGGGGACATTTATCATCTCTAAGTGCCGTTATCCTGCAGCTCCCACGCTCGCCCCAGCCAGCCCTTACGTGGAGCTCCTGGGGGGGGTCCTGGCACCTCCTCTCCTCCGCGGGCCCCCGGCGGTGCCACGCAGCCCCCGCACGTGCTTCAGCATCCAGGCACGCAGGTTGCCCAGGCAGGTGTGCTCCGAGAGCACGATCCGCGGCCAGGGGTTGCACTCGGCCATGTCCAGGGCTGCCACCGCCACCGCCCGGCCCACCTGCCCGGGACATGGCACACGTGAGGGGGCACTGGGGTCAGGGGGAACGGGACAGCGTGGGGCACAGGGCACCAGGGGACAGCAGGAACAGCAGAGTGTGCGGCACAACCACTGGGCACAGGTGAGGGGCATGAGGAGGAACGGGACAGCGTGGGGCACGGGGCACCAGGGGACAGCAGGAACAGCAGAGTGTGCGGTACAAGCAGAGGGCCCAGTGAGAAGGGGAGCACAGGAAGAGGGGAAGCATGGGGGAAGAAAGGGGGACACAGGGAAGGAAGGATACAGTGGGGGGCACTGGGGAGGGGAGCAGTAGTGAGGGGCTCACAGGGAGAAGAAGCCACCAGGAGAAAAGGGGCATGAGAGGAGATGAGGGCATCAGGAAGGGGATGCCAGGGAGGGAGAATGCCAGGGAGTGGGGGCACTGGGGAGAGGGGCAGCTCCCTAGAGCTTGGGACAGCAAAGCAAGGGGAGGGAAGAAGCCGCAGCCCCAATCCAGCCCACCCTCGGGATGTCACTCCCCCTGCAGGCTGGCCTGGCCCCGTACCTGCTCGAAGAGCTCCACGGTGTAGCGGGAGGGGAAGGCGGGCGGCGGCGGGGGGCTGGCACGGCCGTTGTCATGGCAGGCCCCCGGGATGCTGTTCACCGAGCGCCCCGTGTTGTAG